AGATACGATGGAATCCACAACATGCTTTAGAGAGTTCTCCACACATTTTTGAGCATTACGCACTGATGCAATGTCATCTTTCATTTCCACGTCTTCGATCCTCGGGGAGTCACATCGTGAGAAGTTCATGCCGTGAGACATCGAGTTATTGGCTGCTGACATGGAGAGTTCCCCGATTGACATGCACATTTTGTTCTGAAGTCTTGTCCGCTTTTCAGATAAAGATCCTGCAGTTGAGACTTGACTTCTTATGAGCTCCTTATCTACCGTTCCCTCATCCATCTTCCCTACAACTGCACTGATCGTTGATGCAAGCAGGAGTCCTCCATCTGCTTCATAATCCAGGTTGTCTGCTACAGACGTTACTCGAACAACAGTGGGGGGAGTCTTAAGGAGGGGGAAGTTCATTTCTTCAGCCTGTTCCGTGGTGATGTCTGACTGAGGGTTCTTCTGCGGACCTTTGAGGGCGCTGTCAGTTTCTGTTGGACATTTCTGTTCAAATATCAGGAAGTACTGTTCTTCTACTTTTCCCCAACCTCTAGGTATCGAGCGTTTGTATCTCAACTCTGTCTTGCCACTGAGTACGCACAACGTGCCAGACATAAGGGCCGCTTTGTGGGTTACTTGACTCCCAGCTTGGGTCTTGATGTACATGGGGCGTGGATCCTTCAGACCAAGTGCCAACACTGCAACTACTGGAGAGAAATTGCTGTTTTCCTGGCTAGTGTTGCCGTATGGAATACTGTGTGAGGGGTCACTCATCCGATAAATAGTGGTCTTGTCAAACTTAACATCCAACTGAAAAACGTCCTCAACCGTTTTGTTGATACGATCCTGGTGGCATTTGACAAAAGAGCAAAGTTCAGACGGTTCGTCCAGGTTTACGGATAGTTCAGACATTTTAGGGGTTGCGGTCTTCTTAAGCTTCTTTGCCCCCTTTTTTAGATCAACATCTGTCAGTTTGGTCTCCACACCATGTTTGAGGACGATTTTGTACCTATCTTTGTTGCTTGGTGTGCAGAGTTTCCCAACAGTAGCAGTGAGTTCTGCACAAAGGTTAGCATTGCTCTCAGTACTGATGTAGTCGCTTATGTAACCAAGCTTGCAGGACTTCCCTTTGTCAAGAAATATCTCACCGTCATCTCTGATCCACACTGTGCTCCGCCTGTTTGTATCACTCTTTGTCTGTGAACCTGAAAGACTTGACTCAGATCCAGCATCATCACTTGTTTCAGTGTTACCCCAGCTCACGTTACTTAGACGTCTGTTGAGCTTCTTGGCGGGAGTTTCCTGGCAAGATGATAGCACATTGTTGGTCGGCTTCAGGAGACCTTCAGTGGCACTTACTTCAGTAATATCAGTGTCGTTATCCTCTGTTTCACTTGATTCTTTAGCCTCGTCTGTTTTCCCAGAGCCGTTCGCCATCATCACTGTTGCATTAGTCAGCCAAGGTGGTGGAAACAAACTACCAAGTTTCAAAGCAGAGAAATCAAAAATTGAGTTGGAAAAACAACCGGGTTGAGAGATCTGTTTACACGAGGTTTTACTAGAACTAAGACATTGGTTTTCTACTTCTTCACTGACGTAAACAGGAACGGTAGGGGCCAGTGGTCTGCTTCTGAGTTCCCTAAGTAAAAGCAGCAAAGTAACGGCTATGAGCGTCGCAACAAGGAAGCAGAGGCTCAGAAGGACAACTACAGCTATCTGAAACCAGTCCCCAGCTCGCAAAGACCGGTCACTACCTAATCTGTCACACTGTGCACTGTGAGTGGGATTGTGAGGAGTGTATGTGGGGGAGTTGCTATGCTGAAAGACAAGTACACTCAGTTGAGACGCGGTTCGCGACGCATGCGGAGACAAGGCGCGAGGAGGCGGAGCTCTACTGGTGGGCTCTGGCTGGGAAAGACCAGCGGGCGCGGAACGAAACCTAGAAGAGGCGTGCAGCAGTGACATGGCTGAGCAAGAGGACCGTAACATACTCGTCATAAAACCGTCATTAAGTTCATTCATAACATTAGAGATATATCTGCTGCATATGTTATAAATTAAATTGCTGTTTAAACGCTCGAAACTATAACTCACATTCCAAAACCACACTATAAAGTCATGTCCTTGTCTACCCCATACATCAAAATAATACATGCACGTTCCTACAATATTCATCAATGCTTTAAAGCAGGACTGCAATAACTCCAGGAATATTAGCTCGAAAAGTCTTGTGCAATGTACAATTACAATCCTAATGTGTTCTATTGCGTGTAATGTACTTTTACAAATAGTTGTCCTTATCTCTTTGTACGACTGATAAGGGCCATTACAGCAATCATTTAAAGTGTCCAAACCATTTCTAGAGTAGTATATAGTGTTCGGTGTCTGTTCGATGTTTGTTGAGTTTCTGTTCTGTTTAGTGTTGCAGTTCCAATCTATTCCGCCATCTGAGATGTTGCTGCCAGGATCGTACGTTAGACTAAGTACAGGAGCGGTAGCAGTCGGGACTGTGCCAGGACCATAAGTTAGACCATAAGTTAGACCAAGGGGTGGATCAGGAGCGATCGGGACTGATCATATGATCTGATACAGGCTGATGGGGGTCCATAACAACAAGAGCTGCCATAACTTTTGACATGATCTCAAATGTTGCAATGTCATACGTACTGTATGACATAATAATCTCGTTATCGATACTATATAACTTTCAACAGACGACAGGAGACATCATCATTCGACCATCTACACTTCACAACTATAGCAATGGAATACTACGAACTTTTCAATCCAATTCCCATATCCTAGTTTATCCCCATCTAGTATCCAACCTCTACCCCTTGAAGCTTACATCAACCTGGACGACATCCTTACCCCGGCCCCCTGCACGAACCTTTTAGATTTTCTAACCACATCCCGAGCGAAGCCCATGATTGTTCCTTATGTGGTCTACGACGAGATTACATGCTCTACAAAATAGCTTCCCATTGTCAGCATAAAACGATGATTTGCCAAATTCAGCCACTCTCGTGGAAGCTGTTACATTGCCCTGTTTAGCCTGTTTCGAGCATTTGCTAGACGAAGGTCCAGCCGGTTTGTCGGCAGGCCGTTTCACAAAGCGGTCCATTATAACAAGCGAATACAATACCAAGCGAATAACGATGACGAAATATCTGACAAGTGACGATTCAATAACAACACTGATTTAACATACAGTTCGATTTCTTAATCCATTGTATGTCTTCTGGTCAACTTTATGTCGTTTGGTCAAGTTTTTTATGTCTACTGGTCAACTTTATGTCGTCTGGTCAACTTTATGTCGTTTGGTCAAGTTTTATATGTCGTTTGGTCAACTTTATGTCGTCTGGTCAAGTTTTATATGTCTACTGGTCAACTTTATGTCGTCTGGTCAAGTTTTATACGTCTACTGGTCAACTTTATGTCGTCTGGTCAAGTTTTATATGTCTACTGGTCAACTTCCATATACGATCTCGGAAGGCAGACCTCCCCTTCGCAATACGAGCTCGGAAGCGGGAGCTCCGCCTTCAGAGGTACGTATCGAGAATGACTCGGACAGAAAATTTTCTAAGTCAAAATTTTTCAAAGTTTTTCTGGAAACTACTTTTGTTCATGTTTCATGCTACCCTGATCATTATGAGCCGAAAATATTTTTTCGGTTTTCAAAGGTCACATACCCTTCGATACACGATTTTGGACTCGAGGGCTCCCCTTGTAATGCGAATTCAGAAGGCAGGCCTCCCCTTCGCAATACGAGCTCGGAAGCGGGAGCTCCGCCTTCAGAGGTACATATCGAGAATGACTCGGACAGAAAATTTTCTAAGTCAAAATTTTTCAAAGTTTTTCTGGAAACTACTTTTGTTCATTTTTCATGCTATCCTGCTCATTATGAGCCGAAAATATTTTTTCGGTTTTCAAAGTTCACACGCGCATACCCTTCGATACACGATTTTGGACTCGAGGGCTCCCCTTGTAATGCGATCTCGGAATACGAGCTCGGAAGCGGGAGCTCCGCCTTCAGAGATATGTATCGAGAATGACTCGGACCGAAAATCTTTTAAGTCAAAATTTTTCAAAGTTTTTCTGGAAACTACTTTTTTTCATGTTTCATGCTACCCTGATCATTATGAGCCGAAAATATTTTTTTCGGTTTTCAAAGGTCACACATACGCTTCGATACACGATTTTGGACTCGAGGGCTCCCCTTGTAATGCGAATTCAGAAGGCAGGCCTTCCCTTCGCAATACGATCTCGGAAGCTCCGGAAGCTCGGAAGCTCCGCCTTCAGAGGTACGTATCGAGAATGTACCTACAATCGGAACTCACGGAAGGCTGTAAATGTAATTAGTTTCATATACTTAATACTTGTAGAAAACGTGACATTTGGCCCGCAGATTTTATGGAAAATACGCAAACTGGTCCTCAGTTTTAAAGGAAAATGCGCAAATTTGGTCTTCAGATTTAAAGGAAAATGCGCGATTTTTCGCGGAGGACTGAAAAAATCGCGATTTGTCGCGGAGAATGGGAAATTTCGCGATCTGTCGCGGAAAACGTAAAAAATCGCGATTTGTCGCGGAGAATGGGAAATTTCGCGGTTTCGTACATGCCGCGAAATCCTTTTGTCCCTGCTCTGCAGGGGGTACATCACAGCCGAACAAAGTGTATTGAATATATAAAGTGTTGAAGCATATAACTAGCGGCCCATTATCCCTTATTCGTCCTGTGCAGATGTTCAATGATGAGGCATAGTCAGCAGCTCTCTCTCTCTCTCTCTCACTCTCCATCTCGTATTTACCACAGAGGTTGGCTATTATTTACGTGGCGGCTTTCTGTGATCCGGAGCTTTATACAGGCTTTTATGTATCCACGATTTTATAGCTTTTAGGGTTCTTGTTCCGATTCGATGTGCATTACACATAAGATATGATGATGATTTTATTAGATTTTACTTTTTTCCATACTTATAATTTATAGTAATACGTTAAAAAGTCAACTTACATCATTGGTAAAGTAGGGGTGCTTATTGCTGAGTTTTCCGTTTTGTACAGTGAATTCGTTACAGTTTGTGTTAACGGCTGAAAATTACAAATTGTATGGGTCGTTATTAATGTTTACAAGTGCAAGATAACAATTATGTGCATATAAAAAATTGATGAATCATTTATATTACAGTATCATAGAAGGGTCGGTAAATTTTGTGATATTATTTTCTGCACCCAGAAAATTGTTTATGTTATCATCAAATATTCCCTAAAAACCAAACCTATGCACGTAGGAACTGCGCTGCTGAACTTAGATCCTTTGCAGACTATAAAATCGTTTCCCTCCATAACGAAGTTGCTGTTACATTGGTACACAATTTTGTCTCCAAAAACGTAGCTTGCTTTTTCTCCAGATGCGATCGTTCCATCTGTAATAACAGCTTTTGCCGTGTTGCACGTATCTGAAATTAAGTTTTTGTTAATGAAAGTACAACGGGGTTATTTTTATAATATTAATAGTTATATTTGAAATAACCAAATTACTATGCAGTTTATTCTTGACTAACTACAATTACTATGATTAACACCATATTGATAATTCAACCAGTTCTAAAATCTCTAACCAAAATATTCCTTCAGGATGTCCACTTTCCCGGAAATCAAGTCTACCCACTCCTTGGTGGCAAAGCACGTCACTAAAGAAGTATGGGACAAGCTTTGTGACCACAGGACCGCTACCTCCGGCGTCAATCTGGCTCAGTGCATCGCTTGTGCCACCTCTTTTGACAACCAACATTGTGGTATCTATGCTGGTGACTGGGACTGCTACAAAGATTTCGCCGCAGTCTTCGATCCTATCATCCAGGAATACCATGGAATTACCGCTGATGCTAGGCACACATCTGACATGGATGTCTCCAAGCTGGTAGGAAATGTTAACCCAGATGCCCCAGTCAAATCCACTCGTATCAGAGTTGGTCGATCTATCGATGGCTTCGGACTGTCTCCCGGAATCACCAAACAGCAAAGATTAGATGTGGAGGCCCTTTTCAAGAGTGCTAGCAAAAAACTGGAAGGTAATCTGTCAGGAACCTACTACGCTCTCACCGGGATGGAAGAGTCTGTTCGCCAACAGCTTGTTGATGATCACTTCCTCTTCGTGTCTGGTGACCCAAATCTCAAAGTTTCTGGTATGGAGCGTGACTGGCCCGAGGGACGTGGAATCTTCCACAACAAAGAAAAGACCTTCTTGGTGTGGGTAAACGAAGAGGACCAGTTCCGAATCATTTCCATGCAACAAGGTGGTGATGTTAAGGGAGTCTTCGCAAGACTTGTCGATGGAATCGGAGCCGTCGGCAAATCTGTCAAAGATGAGAGTGGCAAAGATTTCATGTTGGATGAGAAATACGGATATGTCCATTCTTGCCCAACCAATCTTGGAACTGGCATGAGGGCTTCTGTCCACATTGACCTCCCAGGCTGGACCAAGGAAGGAGTAGATAAGCTGAAGGCTAAATGCGAAGAGCTGTCTCTGCAGCCAAGAGGTACCCGAGGAGAATCTGGTGGACAAACTGGACACACCTACGATATCTCCAACAAACACAGGTTGGGATACTCTGAGGTCCAACTTGTCCAAACCATGATTGACGGAGTCAACAAGCTGTACGAAATCGACTTGGAGCTCCAGAAGAAACACGGCATGTAAATCTTTCGGAGATTAGGATATGGATTTAATTTATGTTTTCTATCTCATTGAAGAATCCATTCAAACTTCTTTCACCTAGATTTACAAGTGGGAAAATCACCTAGGCATTAAAATCTTGTTTATAAATAGTGGTCCCATTTTTTCTGTGCCTTATCTTCTTAATTAAGTGCTGCTTTCTCCATGACATTCATGACCGACGTTCCGCACTTAATTTATCGTTTATTGGATCCTATCCGTTTTTGGAAATATTAATAATGTTTAATAATTGTTGACAATATAATGATTGAATTGGAAAGAAAAATGAAGCATTCTCTATTGTCGATCGCGAAGGAAACGAAAATTAACATCGGGATCTTTATAAAATTGATTAAGTTCAAGGTTTGTGCAGGTAATAAAGTAATAGTGATATCGTGCAATCAAATGTTTCATGAGGTACTCTTTGGTAGTTAATCCTAGAAAAGATGAGAATTGATAAAGGGTCGCACAATTTGGCCTTACAATACCCTTTTAATACAACCTTTTTAGTTTTATAGCCTCTAACTCTAAGAGTGCGGGACTTTTTGAGCCTGGATGATCGATAAACTTTCTGCTGACGCCTACTAAAAACAAAAACTGGATTGTTTAGTGGTGGAGTTGATCAAATGCATATAATTTGCAGTATATTGACATCACGTTTATTATATAACTTTATTCAAATCAAAAATAGAACATAAATGAACATCTTAAAGATCTGATAAGTAGCCAGAAAAAAAGAAATACCGATACTCAAGCTATAACAATTTCTTCCATCCCGCTCTATCAGAGGCTAAAAGTCTTAAATTGTACAAATCGTCTGTATTTACAAATGGAATGTTCCTACTAACTAAATCAAATTTAATAGTCCTAAGCAAGTTCGACTGGTGTCTGCCTACTCTACCCTTTTTAGTACTCTGACTCTCTACTGCAAAGTGTAATGCAAACTGTACGGGTGAGTTGTTATCACTGCCAAGGACATATCCGAGCATCCTCCATCGTGCACATGCAACACGCTCACTGAGTGGAACCACTTCATATCTCTTGTAAAGGGTGTCGTTTTTGATTATATTAGGGTAAGTCATTTTGATGATTTGCCTCAGATGCTTTCTGTGGCAAATATCCAGTTTATTCAATAGCTGCATACTATTTTAAACCAGTATCCGTGGATTCTCACAAGTTTTTAAAGCAGCTGCTCCAACGTAAATCTGTTCAGGTCAGAAGCTACACTCTCAGTTACCTCAGAACCTAGTGCCCCCAATCTGTATAGCTTTAGAATATGGTACCCCAACCGTTCCTCCGGTTTCAAAAGGAAACATACGTCACTTTCCTCCCAGAGTGAAATACGTATAATACGTATGGACATTGGAAGTAAGCTATAATTATAGACGGTATAGGTACCACTAGCCAGACATGAAGAACTATTGAGTCATCAACTTCTCTTCTGGGAACCCCTTCAAGGACATCGTCGAAGGGGAAGACCACATCTCACATACATTGACATCCTTCGGAAGGACACAGGGCTTGACGACAGCAAAGAGATTAACAAACTCATGCTGGATAGACAGATTTGGAAGAAGACTATTTCTGTTCGGACGCTGAAGCCGCCCTAAGTCGAAGTCGAGTAAGTCGATAGGTACCACTAAGGCCAGGGACACAATGTTCTTGAAAACAGTACTTTGGGGCCGGATATGATGTCTTAGAAATAAGATTCTGGGGCATGACTTCCTGGTCCTTGACTGTGGTTAGTGTTACTAATAAATACAGCTTTGTCCCACAAGTTCGAGATAAATTTAACTTAATATATTTTGTGGGCAGACCGACGCGTTCACTAACACTAACAGTACCACTTAGGGTTGCCGCTGTAGTCTAAACTCTCAAGGAAAAAGAAATATTCGTTATATGGTCTCATATGAACAGGGTCTAGCCAATAAAATATGATTAATACTCGGTGCAGCCAATGGCCCATCTCACATGTTGATTATAAACGGTTGGGTCCGGAAAAAGCTTTTGTCGCTCAGCCTGAGGCCCGTTTTGTTGCTTTGCCGAAATTCGATTGAACTCGAGAGATAATCTTATTTCCGAAAACTTGTGAACAACCCCTGCAGCAGAGTTGTTGTAAAGAACCACTTATTCAATTTTAGGTGGCTGTTGTGTGCAGTTCCTTGTATTGCACTCTTTTAGTTTTAGCACTGTGATGTGTAGAAAAAACAGTATATAGTGCGTATTGACAAAATATTTGACGATTAATGAAGCTGTCGTACATAATAGTTCATCTAAACGTATGAATGAACCACTAACAAATGAATAATGTACAATTTCCTTCAAGTCGTTTACAAATTATAAAAAGTAACTGGTTGTACATTTTCGTTTACCCACTTTCCTAACCAAATACGCTCAGGATGTCTGCACCGTTCCCGACAATACAGTCAACACACTCCCTTGTGGCCAAACACGTCACCAAGGCAAAATGGGACAAGTTGTCAGGAATAACAACGAAGACTGCTGGATTCACCCTAGCAAAAGCGATCGCTTGTGCTGTTGAGTTTGACAACCAACATTGTGGAATCTATGCTGGTGATTGGGATTCCTACAAAGATTTTGCTGATGTTTTCGATCCTATTATTCAGGAATACCATGGAATTAGCAGTGATGCCAGGCACACTTCCGATATGGACTTCTCAAAGATCAAAGGCAATGTGAATCCAGCGGCACCAGTGCACTCCACCCGAATTCGAGTTGGACGTTCCATCGATGGCTTTGGACTTTCTCCAGGAATTACAAGAGACCAGAGAGTCGGTGTTGAAAAGCTATTCAAAACTGCCAGCGCCAATTTCAAAGATGAGCTTGCAGGAACATACTACCCCCTCACTGGAATGGAAGAGTCTGTTCGCCAGCAGCTCGTTGATGATCACTTCCTCTTCGTGTCTGGTGATCGTAACCTGACTGTCGCTGGTATGGAAAGAGACTGGCCTGAAGGACGTGGAATCTTCCACAACAAAGAAAAGACTTTCTTAGTCTGGGTCAACGAAGAGGACCAGCTCCGAATCATCTCCATGGAAAAGGGCGGAGACGTACTTGGAGTCATCAAACGACTGGCCAAAGGTATCAAGGCTGTTGGGGACTCTGTCAAGGCTGAGAGCGGAAAAGATTTCTGTTTAGACGAGAAGTACGGATATATCCATTCCTGCCCTACCAACCTTGGAACCGGTATGAGAGCGTCTGTTCACATTGACTTGCCAGGATGGACCGCTCATGGTGTAGATAAGCTGAAGGCTAGGTGCGAAGAGCTTTCTCTGCAGCCAAGAGGTACCCGAGGAGAATCTGGTGGACAAACTGGGCACACTTACGATATCTCCAACAAACACAGGTTGGGATACTCTGAGGTCCAACTTGTTCAAACCATGATCGACGGAGTTAACACTCTTTACAAGGAAGACTTGGAGTTCCAGAAGAAATAATGTGATTTTGATTAGGAACATAACTAATTATCTGACAGCAATAATTATTTGTATCGGTTTATGTTTTGCTATACAATTATAATATCCATTACAATTCTTAGTCTTACGACTGCAAAAAAGACTTTTATTTATAATCACAAATTCAATTCAATCTACCCTTCCAGTAGAATGTTATATGAGTATAACCTTGATCTAGACTCTTGTCGTACAGGAAGTAAATCAATCGCTTTTCTGAGATCATCAAGCTAAATTGCTAAATTTTGAAAAACCGCTTGATCAAAACTTTGGTTCAAATACAAATTTGATCGAAATTGTCCTGTTATGTAAATATCTTTGAATCATTCAATTTCATGATGCGCTAGTTACAACTCACACATTTAAAATTCAGTACCACTACCATAGCTAACGTAGGGATTTGTTCTTATATTATGTTACTAGTTGGAGGAAAAACTTTGTTTTGCGTCAGAGATGTTTTAAACAAGTAACCAGTGAGCTAGTTTTTGATAAATATGCAGTATGTACTGATGTATAGGCGACCTGGCTAGAATGACAGAATCTTATACCGCTTCAAGTTCGAGTGATTGCTTGGTAATGATGGACGGACAATTTGCGGAGACACTTTTATTTCATATTAAACTCACCATGGAGGTGATTTACACAAGAACACCTGAACAGGAGCGAACGCGACAATTTCCAGCTCCATTTCCGACGCTTTTGAAAACCTTGTTAAAGATCAGCTAATTTTAGAATTAGAGAATAATGTTATTGTTTTAATCATTCGGCTCTTGCGAAGATCTCAACAGTATTTTGATACAATACCGGTGACATGACTTATTACATTGATGAATAGTAAATTGATATCGGTATATTAGGTATACAACCTGCATATTGTGTACAGCCTATAGAATACGCCAAAAAGACTTTACCTGACACGCCACGTACAATTTTCACTGAATAGGATTAAACATGGGAAACTTGTGGAGTGTAAAGATCATGAGTGTGTAACGTGGCAACGATTTTATCATGCATTTTGTAGCTTCTGCATTGCATGCAGTCCTTGCAAGCAGATATTCAACGTGCACATTCTACTCACATTGTAAGTAAAAGAAGCTAAAACTCAAAGGTGGACAGTCTTCCGATCAATATATTTGTTTAACATAATGCTTTGCTTGAAATCGCAGCGCGATCTGAATTTCTTTAATTATCCATTTTTACAATTTGTCATTTTGGACGTGTTTTATTAACATCTGCACTAGATGTTCGTCAGTGCTAATGAATACAGCCCCAGTCCGAAAGTGTAATTTCAAAATTAACCAGCTTTCTCAAGCACTCAACTTCAAGTTGATTGTAACATTATGAGCAGTCAAGGATTTGATTGTGTTTGGCATTTTTAAGTTGTGGTGGGTACAGCCTTGCGCTTGTCAATTAATAATAATAACAGCATTAATCTTGTTTTGTCGCTAATTTTACTTTCAATTTGTGTATTTAAATCAATAATTGGGACTATAATTAACAAATTTTACTGGCTGTCAAGTGATAATCTAGAAAGTTCCAGTTAATTATCGATTCATTGTACCTACAGTACAGAGAACCCGCTAAATGAATTTATTAATAATATCCAGCGAAAAGGAAGTATACAATTAAACTACTGTATCTGAGTAATTTCAGCTATAAGTATAATACTATCAAACGTTATGCCCCAAGCAAAGTTGCGATGACCGCAGGCCTAGGCCTTACTAATAAGCTTTTAAGACTGATGTGATTGTGACATCTTTGATCTTTATTTTACCAATAAGCGGCCATCGCCTGAAACTCGTTTGTACAGCAACAGCACGAGTGTAAAAATAAGAGGGCTGGTGGTGAAGCCAACTAATCTTATTACCTCTCCGGACATCCGGCGACACAGTAAAAGTATATCAAAGTTTGCAGTTTGTATAGCAAAGAAATACGTCTCTCAGTAACCTTGGTATGGTTAGATTGCATGGTTTATACTTTATTTATTTATTCCTTCTTTCTACAAGTACAAAAGTGAAAGAATACACGAAAGCGCACAATCGCCCTTACTTCTTAGGCCTTATCATTTTGTGATTCTTTTATCTTTTGAAGTTGCTTAGAAATTAATAGCTGCAAGAATTAGAAACTGCGATCCTACAACTAAAATCGTTATTCTCCTCTTATTTCTATCTCGAGAGTAGGACGAAGGCATTGGATACTTAAAAAGCAAGCTTGAGGACATTACCAATTAGATATAGAATTAGATAGCAATATTTTCATCAAAATTATGGGAACAGCGCGCGTTCTTTACCTAGATTTGGATTCGACCTAAAATAAAACCATAAAAAGACAGTCTGTAAATTTCTATCGACAGTTTAAGACGTTTTAGGAGGGCCAAGCTGACCCACTCTTTCCAAATCCAATATCGTCAGTTACAAAGAATCAATTTCCTGTCAATATCGATGCCATCGAACTTAGATTAAATTTGAATGTTGCTTCCTTAAAACTTAACCACGTTAACTTGCCGATTCTGACTCGATTCATCACAAGTCATGTGACTGCAGACTTTTGATATTATCCCAATGAAGCCTACTGTCCATCTGCAAAGCAACTCCACCTTCGTTCCATCTATTATGACTTTACTTGGGAATGTACTCTATGGAAGTAATAATTAGCACTTAGGAAAAGCTCCGTCCTGAGGCTTCAATATTTACACTTGACTCATGGGGCAGGATGAGGTAGGAAGCCATTCTTCTCCCGCTTTTCTGACCTTGGTTTATTTCATTGCAAACACTTGCCCGTTTTGACATACTGTTAAGTTGATCAACTGTTTACAAACACTATATTTGTAATTTTGCCGGCTCATCGCGTCAAATTTTTCATAGGTCAAGGCCGTGTCATTGTCGCAGGGCGACTAACTCAATAAACAGCCCAGGCCATGTTCAATTTTTGTTTGACTCTAGTTCAAATGCTTTCAGATATTGGTTCGGTAAATTGAATTTCCCCCGGCTCAACTTTCTAACTTTAAGCTCATTCATCGCACTCATCCATTTAATAAAGCAAAGTGATTTTTTTATAATCCCTAAGTTTCCATCAAAGCTAAGACATTTACCAATTTCAACGGACAAATTATAAGTTACAATTTTGGATTCGTCCTGTAAGTGTATATTGCTTATCGTTTTGATACGTTTTCAGTTTTCATGCTTTGTACTTTCAGTGGCATAAAATTCGATTGTTGAGGCACTAATATAGTAATATGCTACTGAATCACCAAATAGCACCGGTAATTAATGATTTCATTGGATTAAAGCAGAGATTTCTAAATGGTGTCATACCATTATCACGTCGCCATGGCAACTGTTATAGGACACCGAATATAACCTGAGACACATAATGTGACGTGAGGGAAGGATGGTAGTCATAGTAACCAACAAATTTTGTAAACATGCCCGGGGATTTCGTTTATTACTCACTTGAGCTAGTAGTGGTCGATGTTGTGAATAGTAACTGTTTTCTGTGAAGTGTGGGATATATTACATCTTTCTCAGACTTAAGTAATTGATAGCAATTTGGGGTGGCATGTTTAGGACAATATGTGGATGGCCCACAAGTAACACTTGTCAATGTTGCTATGGCAACCATTTCCAATAACAAACGTAATTTTGTTGTAGTATTCTTTACTATAAATATAATAATACGAGCGTGACTCGTGAGCCGATTCTTGATGTTGGAAGTTGGCCCACGTGTTACCGGTCGCTTAGCACTACCGCGCATTTGCGCGCGTGATGCACGTGTAACTGTTCACCGTGATTTGCGCTGTACTTCCGTTTGCTGCGCGGGCACTAGTTTTCGAGTTAAATTTGTGACGACGCACACTTTTGACGTTTAGTTGGTACGACGATATAATAGAATTCTTTTACGTGTAAAGGACCTTTTCTTATATTTAGTCGGTAAGCTTAGACTACACCTCTTAGACCACTTAATAGATTTTAAAAAACCGTATATATAATGCCATTCGACAGTTATTCCAAGATTTATATGCTTTTAGAGTTTTCTGAACTCAAACAAATTGCTATTAAAACTTGCAATTCAGTTACTCGCTATTATATTTGCGTCTTAAGCTCAAGTTGTGAAGTTGTGGCTTTAAGTTTGAAACGCCATTAGTACAACTTGTACTAATGGCGTTTTAAACTTAAAGCCACAACTTGAGCTTAAGACGCAAATATAATAGCGATTAACTGACAACAAGTTATACAATTTTTGAATGCTTTTCTGAAAAATATCGCATCGTTCATTGCTTAATTAAATGTTTTACCTATTTAGGTGTAAACCATGGGGTGCGGATCGTCTCAAGCAGCATCGGTGAGTTTGCAAACCAAATTTTTGTATACAATTATTTATTACAATATACAATCCTCGTGTTTATGGTCACATTTGCTTTTTTCATCAGTGGATCTTTATCACAATCACATTAAACAGTGCCGAGAATGACCGACTTAAATTCAAGGCACTTAAAAAGAAGGACAGCACAGCGACTGCAAACAAAAATCCGACAGATAATTCGACAGATGAACAGAGTACGCCAAAAAAATTAGACAGTACACCAGTAATTGAAAAGAAATCTGATATTTTATACCAAAATGACGAAGTAGATGTTCCTGACATCATAACCACTGCACCATCTACAATGGACTTTGGAGACTTAGATATTGAAGGGGATCTTTACAAAGAGGTTCCATTCAACTTCTAATGAAATTACTGTTGGCTTATTGGTATAGGTCGGAGACAAAAATACATAGTACTAGAAATCTTGCATTTGATTGGTTATAAATTCCAATTGATGAGTAAAGATATGAGTCAAAGCAAATAATTTTGCCTCATTCACAAAAACAATCCCGACGAAGTACATGACTCGACAGTTCGATTTGTTCACTCATTCAACTCAATTGGTGACATCTTTAGAGGATCACTTATCGAAATTATCGATAACTTAACATGAATTATTTCAGGGTCAAAGTGCGAACGGAGGACTCTCCTCGTTCCCCGATATCAAATCGAAACACTCCCTTGTTGCAAAGCATGTCACGAAAGAAATATGGGACAAGCTTCATGAGCACAAAACTGCTACCTCAGGGTTCACCCTAGCAAAGGCAATCGCTTGCGCTGTTGAGTTTGACAACCAACATTGTGGTATCTATGCTGGTGATTGGGACTCTTACAAAGATTTCGCTGATGTCTTCGATCCCATCATTCAGGAATATCATGGAATTAGCGCTGATGCCAAGCACACTTCCGATATGGACTTCTCCAAGATCACTGGTAATGTGAATCCAGACGCACCAGTTCACTCCACTCGAATTCGAGTTGGACGTTCCATCGATGGCTTTGGACTCTCCCCAGGAATAACACAAGAGCAGAGAGTTGGTGTTGAAAATCTATTTAAAATTGCCAGCGCCAATTTCAAAGATGAGCTTGCAGGAACATACTACCCCCTCGCTGGTATGGAAGAGTCTGTTCGCCAACAGCTCGTTGATGATCACTTCCTCTTCGTGTCTGGTGATCGTAACCTGACTGTCGCTGGTATGGAAAGAGACTGGCCTGAAGGACGTGGAATCTTCCACAACAAAGAAAAGACTTTCTTAGTCTGGGTCAACGAAGAGGACCAGCTCCGAATCATCTCCATGGAAAAGGGTGGAGACGTACTTGGAGTCTTCAAACGATTGGCTGGTGGTATCGAGGCTGTTAAGGATTCTGTCAAGGCTGAGAGCGGAAAAGATTTCTGTTTGGACGAGAAGTACGGATATATCCATTCCTGCCCTACCAACCTTGGAACCGGTATGAGAGCTTCTGTTCACATTGACTTGCCAGGATGGACCGCTCATGGTGTAGATAAGCTGAAGGCTAGGTGCGAAGAGCTTTCTCTGCAGCCAAGAGGTACCCGAGGAGAATCTGGTGGACAAACTGGACACACCTACGATATCTCCAACAAACACAGGTTGGGATACTCTGAGGTCCAACTTGTCCAAACCATGATCGATGGAGTCAACGCTCTTTACGATGAAGATTTGGCACTCCAAAAGAAGCAGCTTGAATTTCCCACCATCCAGTCCACTCACTCTTTGGTAGCTAAGCATGTCACTAAGGAAAAATGGAATAAACTGTGCAAAATCAGTACTAAGACTTCTGGTTTCACCCTAGCAAAAGCAATCGCTTGCGCTGTTGAGTTTGACAACCAACATTGTGGAATCTATGCTGGTGATTGGGATTCTTACAAAGATTTCGCTGATGTCTTCGATCCCATCATTCAGGAATACCATGGAATTAGCGCTGATGCCAAGCACACTTCCGACATGGACTTCTCCAAGATCACTGGTAATGTGAATCCAGAGGCCCCAGTGCACTCCACTCGAATTCGAGTTGGACGTTCCATCGATGGCTTTGGACTTTCTCCTGGAATTACAAGAGAACAAAGAGTCGGTGTTGAAAATCTATTCAAAACTGCCAGTGCCAATTTCAAAGATGAGCTTGCAGGAACATACTACCCCCTCGCTGGTATGGAAGAGTCTGTTCGCCAACAGCTCGTTGATGATCACTTCCTCTTCGTGTCTGGTGATCGTAACCTGACTGTCGCTGGTATGGAAAGAGACTGGCCTGAAGGACGTGGAATCTTCCACAACAAAGAAAAGACTTTCTTAGTCTGGGTTAACGAAGAGGACCAGCTCCGAATCATCTCCATGGAAAAGGGTGGAGACGTACTTGGAGTCTTCAAACGATTGGCTGGTGGTATCCAGGCTGTTGGGGACTCTGTCAAGGCTGAGAGCGGAAAAGATTTCTGTTTGGATGAGAAGTACGGATACGTCCATTCCTGCCCTACCAACCTTGGAACCGGTATGAGAGCTTCTGTTCACATTGACTTGCCAGGATGGACCGCTCATAGTGTAGATAAGCTGAAGGCTAGGTGCGAAGAGCTTTCTCTGCAGCCAAGAGGTACTCGAGGAGAATCTGGTGGACAAACTGGACACACCTACGATATCTCCAACAAACACAGGTTGGGATACTCTGAGGTCCAACTTGTCCAAACCATGATCGATGGAGTCAACACTCTTTACAAGGAAGACTTGGAATTCCAAGCAGCACAGAAGGCATAATAATGAACTGATCATGAATTAGTTTTCTCTCATTTTTTGCGTTTCATCCTCAATGTTTATTTGCGTTTATCTAGGGGATTGTTAAGTAAAGAAACAAACTGAGAGACACTGAAACAGATAGGACGCTATTTCAAGCCTGAAATTTCTTATTAGGATGTTTCTTTTTTTGAGATACCAGATAAAAGTTGGGACAGTCACTGCAAAATGAAAAAATAGTTGAACCATATTTTTCCAGTAGGTTTACCATGAACATTTTTCATGTGACCCACAAAATTAGACATTTACCAAAGCTCAAAGTTGTCATCTTTGATGTTAGGAAATACATTGGTTTGTAAATATCTTTTGTTACTATTTTGATTGAAATTTTCATCAGTAATATAATATGTGAAACGTATTTATATAGCAAGCTAATTTGTAGATCTACATGTTTTACTTGTTGTACCTGTGGACATTATTCTCCCAACATTTTTAAAAATAAGTATCTTATGACTGTAAAATATTGGGTGAGACGTAAAAGTACAACTACAAATGCCAAAAAATAGGTTGAATAATTTGTTGTCGAATAAAGTTACCTTCTTCACAGGTTGGTGCACTTGAGAGCACTGCTGTAGAGCCATCCTTCGAGCAAGTCATTTTAGCCACTCCATTTAGCGTGTGGTGATCATTACAAGTCACCGTGTAGAACTCTCCAATATCGATCTCTGAGTCTGCTGGAGTAACCGCCCCACCATTTACCACTGGCTTGGAGCACACTAGCGCTGCGTCTGCAATATTATATACAGCAATTTTAGGTTGGATTGTTCAGTTAGAAATCAGCCTGTATTATAACAATTTCAAATTGGTCATTTGCTTCAGCTTTCGAGGCTAAGCTCCCATATCAAGGTTTCGTCAAGTAAATCTCCCCCTCCCTCTAAAACGCAGAAAAATCATGCACGCAGGAGCTATTATATGCATTATAGAGACGGTAGAGGTAAAAAGGATAAGAATTTGAAAATGTTCATTCCAACATTGTACACTGTACAGCCACAGTGACACGTTATAAAATAAGAGGGGGACTACTGTACACGAACTTTCTTAATATAATTGAGGGCCTATGCTGTATGAAGCTGATCACAACCCCTGTATTCAATATTCAAACGTATAATAATTACCTTGTTCGCATGTTGGAAGGGCAGAGAGTTCAGCTGCCCCATTATTGTCAGTACAGGTGACGGTGGCGGATCCCTTTATAGTGAACCCACCACTACAGGTAACTGAGTAACTAGATCCAGTAGAGATAGAGCCACTTGGGGAGACTGCGCCGTCAGATATTGTAGGTGCCGCGCACTTTGACTCTACTGCATCTGAAAGATGTTTGTTATTTCATCTGATGAGATTTGACCAGTGGCTGTCCTGTTTAAAACAAGAGCCTGAGAACTGGCGAGTCTTAAAAGCAACGATTTTGAATTTATTTCATTTCATAACTTTCTTTTTAAAAGTTGATCTGAGTAATCATAATTATAAGTGAGATCAATCCAAAGATTTTTGTAATTTGTTGGTGTTTAACTAGGTAATTAGTGATCGGATTCGATAAAATAACCATTTATTCACGGAAATATATTTATTAATAAATTACAATAGTCAATAGTACTAACTAATAGTATTTTTTTTTTTTTTTTTTTTTTTTTTAATTTTTTTTTAATTTTTTAAACTAACTAATAGTATTAACTTTCATGCGATAATGATGGAACTATTCGATTTAAAAAAAAGGATGAAATAACCTTGTTCGCATGTTGGAAGGGCAGAGAGTTCAGCTGCCCCATTATTGTCAGTACAGGTGACGGTGGCGGATCCTTTTATAGTGAACCCACCACTACAGGTAACTGAGTAACTAGATCCAGTAGAGATAGAGCCACTTGGGGAGACTGTGCCGTCAGCTATAGTAGGAGCCGAGCATTTCGCCTCTACTGCGTCTAAAATATTATGTTCATATGAGATTACAAATTCAGATGATGACTGTCATGTGGACCAGTCTTGTTATATTTTAAACTTTGAAATAAGTGCTGTCAGGAAATCAGAATTTTAAATGTTAAAGCAGTATTGTAAAAATCTTTAAAAATAAATTGATGTAATTTAAGTTGATCCATGTATTCTGAATTATAAAATTTAACGGTTTCTCATGTAATTTAGTCATAATAATAATATCACACCAACCTATTCGATTCCAAAAAAATATAGTAATTACCTTGTTCGCATGTTGGAAGGGCAGAGAGTTCAGCTGCCCCATTATTGTCAGTACAGGTGACGGTGGCGGATCCCTTTATAGTGAACCCACCACTACAGGTAACTGAGTAACTAGATCCAGTAGAGATAGAGCCACTTGGTGAGACTGTGCCGTCAGCTATAGTAGGAGCCGCGCACTTCGCCTCTACTGCATCTAAAAGATACATGTTATTTCTAATACTATTAGTATTACTGTTAGATTCCAGGTGATTACTGCTCCCAGCTCCGGTATATAGATTAGACCCGTAAAATACCGGTAGAAGTCATATTGAGAGCGGTAATACAACGTCAACAGTCTTTTAATCAATCTTACTAACTCTGCTGTTTGATTATAAATTTTACGGGAAATAAATTTTCGAAGATCGTTACTATTCTGTTTTCAATAAGACTTCGTCCGCTTTTCTACGGAATTTCGCCAGTTGTCCAGTTTAACGAGACCAGTCATTCTAATTCCTATAATTTTAGCTACCATTTGTAATATAGAATAGTACAATATCTCGTATATATTTGGTACTTACTATTCAGTATAACGCCAGAAAATGTAGTGGAAAAACTCGAAAAAGTATCTGTTTACAAATTAAGAGGAAGTAGTTAAATTATATTTACATCATAAAACTGGTTGATTTTTTGGAGGAAAAGATAAGAAATATGTAAACGACAAACCTTGTTCGCATGTTGGAAGGGCAGAGAGTTCAGCTGCCCCATTATTATCAGTACAGGTGACGGTGGCGGATCCCTTTATAGTGAACCCACCACTACAGGTAACTGAGTAACTAGATCCAGTAGAGATAGAGCCACTTGGGGAGACTGTGCCGTCTGATATCGTAGGAGCCGCGCACTTTGGATCTGAAAAGATTGCATGGTTGAACAGACATTTTTGTAGGAGTCGACAAAAGAGCTGTGACCTACAAATCTTATATAATACAGGTGTCAATAACTGAAAAAAGAGCAGGATTTACATATTGTGATTTTGATTATCTATAGGATTCATTTTAGTTATACATTCTATTTCATAAAATGTTAAATCCTCCCAGTCGATTGCCTCCCCCTAAATTCTTCTTCTGCTCTAAAAGACAAAAAGGTCAGGGCTTCTAAAAATTTCTTCTGCACAAAATTACCTCTCCAACCCAAAATTTCCTCGCAGTCAGACTGCCGTGTTCCTGGATGTGGGTCAATCAGATTGGGTTGCATCAACGGGCATACCAAAATGATTTAAACGCGTTTTTCATAAGGTCATTACTTTACCGTAGTAAGGCCATTTATTAGATTTAAAATGAGCAAAAAAAATACAACTAAAAGTCACAAAGCCGGCATAAAAGAACCGCCAGAATACGTTGGGTAGCAATTAAAACAAATTATACTTTCAGCTCTTTTATCACAAGTAGGCAGAGAAGAAAGTTGTCCATCATTGCAGGTTATTTCTGCAGCCCCTGATATAGTGTGTCCATCCTTACACTCAACAGTGTATTTGGATCCGGAGTCGATAGAAGCATCAGCAGGGGTAATAGTTGATTCATCAATTGTTGGTTTGGAACACTGTTGAAGGCATGTTGGACTAGTCGAAAGCTGTCCATCATTGCAGGTTATTTCTGCAGCCCCTGATATAGTGTATCCATTTCCGCACTCAACAGTGTATTTGGATCCAGAGTTGATGGAAGCATCAGAAGGTGCAATGGTGGCATGATCGATAGTTGGTTTAACACAATTTTCAGAGTTCTTAACACAAGTTGGACTAGTGGAAAGTTGTCCATCATTGCAGGTTATTTCTGCAGCCCCTGATATAGTGTGTCCTTCCTTACACTCAACAGTGTATTTGGATCCAGAGTCGATAGAAGCATCAGTAGGGGTGATAGTTGCTTTATCAATGGTCGGTTTGGAACACTGTTGAAGGCATGTTGGACTAGTCGAAAGTTGTCCATCATTGCAGGTTATTTCTGCAGCCCCTGATATAGTGTGTCCTTCCTTACACTCTACAGTGTACTTGGATCCAGAGTCGATAGAAGCATCAGCAGGGGTGATAGTTGCTTCATCAATGGTCGGTTTGGAACACTGTTGAAGGCATGTTGGACTAGTGGAAAGTTGTCCATCATTGCAGGTTATTTCTGCAGCCCCTGATATAGTGTGTCCTTCCTTACACTCAACAGTGTACTTGGATCCAGAGTCGATAGAAGCATCAGCAGGGGTGATAGTTGCTTCATCAATTGTTGGTTTAGAACACTGTTGAAGGCATGTTGGACTAGTCGAAAGTTGTCCATCATTGCAGGTTATTTCTGCAGCCCCTGATATAGTGTGTCCTTCCTTACACTCAACAGTGTATTTGGATCCGGAGTCGATAGAAGCATCAGCAGGGGTGATAATTGAATCATCAATTGTTGGTTTGGAACACTGTTGAAGGCATGTTGGACTAGTCGAAAGCTGTCCATCATTGCAGGTTATTTCTGCAGCCCCTGATATAGTGTGTCCCTCCTTACACTCAACAGTGTATTTGGATCCAGAGTCGATAGAAGCAACAGCAGGGGTGATAGTTGCTTCATCAATGGTAGGTTTAGAACACTGTTGAAGGCATGTTGGACTAGTCGAAAGCTGTCCATCATTGCAGGTTATTTCTGCAGCCCCTGATATAGTGTATCCATTCCCGCACTCAACAGTGTATTTGGATCCAGAGTTGATGGAAGCATCAGCAGGTGTAATGGTGGCATGATCGATAGTTGGTTTAACACAATTTTCAGAGTTCTTAACACAAGTTGGACTAGTGGAAAGTTGTCCATCATTGCAGGTTATTTCTGCAGCCCCTGATATAGTGTGTCCCTCCTTACACTCAACAGTGTATTTGGATCCAGAGTCGATAGAAGCAACAGCAGGGGTGATAGTTGCTTCATCAATGGTAGGTTTAGAACACTGTTGAAGGCATGTTGGACTAGTCGAAAGCTGTCCATCATTGCAGGTTATTTTTGCAGCCCCTGATATAGTGTATCCATTCCCGCACTCAACAGTGTATTTGGATCCAGAGTTGATGGAAGCATCAGCAGGTGTAATGGTGGCATGATCGATAGTTGGTTTAACACAATTTTCAGAGTTCTTAACACAAGTTGGACTAGTGGAAAGTTGTCCATCATTGCAGGTTATTTCTGCAGCCCCTGATATAGTGTGTCCTTCCTTACACTCAATAGTGTATTTGGATCCGGAGTCGATAGAAGCATCAGCAGGGGTGATAGTTGCTTCATCAATGGTCGGTTTGGAACACTGTTGAAGGCATGTTGGACTAGTTGAAAGTTGTCCATCATTGCAGGTTATTTCTGCAGCCCCTGATATAGTGTGTCCTTCCTTACACTCAACAGTGTACTTGGATCCAGAGTTGATGGAAGCATCAGAAGGTTCAATGGTGGCATGATCGATAGTTGGTTTAACACAATTTTCAGAGTTCTTAACACAAGTTGGACTAGTGGAAAGTTGTCCATCATTGCAGGTTATTTCTGCAGCCCCTGATATAGTGTGTCCTTCCTTACACTCAATAGTGTATTTGGATCCAGAGTCGATAGAAGCATCAGCAGGGGTGATAGTTGCTTCATCAATGGTCGGTTTGGAACACTGTTGAAGGCATGTTGGACTAGTGGAAAGTTGTCCATCATTGCAGGTTATTTCTGCAGCCCCTGATATAGTGTGTCCTTCCTTACACTCAACAGTGTATTTGGATCCAGAGTCGATAGAAGCAACAGCAGGGGTGATAGTTGCTTCATCAATGGTCGGTTTGGAACACTGTTGAAGGCATGTTGGACTAGTCGAAAGCTGTCCATCATTGCAGGTTATTTCTGCAGCTCCTGATATAGTGTGTCCTTCCTTACACTCAACAGTGTATTTGGATCCAGAGTCGATAGAAGCAACAGCAGGGGTGATAGTTGCTTCATCAATGGTCGGTTTGGAACACTGTTGAAGGCATGTTGGACTAGTCGAAAGTTGTCCATCATTGCAGGTTATTTCTGCAGCCCCTGATAAAGTGTGTCCTTCCTTACACTCAACAGTGTATTTGGATCCAGAGTCGATAGAAGCATCAGCAGGGGTGATAGTTGCTTCATCAATGGTCGGTTTGGAACACTGTTGAAGGCATGTTGGACTAGTCGAAAGTTGTCCATCATTGCAGGTTATTTCTGCAGCTCCTGATATAGTGTGTCCTTCCTTACACTCAACAGTGTATTTGGATCCAGAGTCGATAGAAGCAACAGCAGGGGTGATAGTTGCTTCATCAATGGTCGGTTTGGAACACTGTTGAAGGCATGTTGGACTAGTCGAAAGCTGTCCATCATTGCAGGTTATTTCTGCAGCCCCTGATATTGTGTGTCCCTCCTTACACTCAACAGTGTATTTGGATCCAGAGTCGATAGAAGCATCAGCAGGGGTGATAGTTGATTTATCAATTGTTGGTTTGGAACACTGTTGAAGGCATGTTGGACTAGTCGAAAGCTGTCCATCATTGCAGGTTATTTTTGCAGCCCCTGATATAGTGTATCCATTCCCGCACTCAACAGTGTATTTGGATCCAGAGTTGATGGAAGCATCAGCAGGTGTAATGGTGGCATGATCGATAGTTGGTTTAACACAATTTTCAGAGTTCTTAACACAAGTTGGACTAGTGGAAAGTTGTCCATCATTGCAGGTTATTTCTGCAGCCCCTGATATAGTGTGTCCTTCCTTACACTCAATAGTGTATTTGGATCCGGAGTCGATAGAAGCATCAGCAGGGGTGATAGTTGCTTCATCAATGGTCGGTTTGGAACACTGTTGAAGGCATGTTGGACTAGTTGAAAGTTGTCCATCATTGCAGGTTATTTCTGCAGCCCCTGATATAGTGTGTCCTTCCTTACACTCAACAGTGTACTTGGATCCAGAGTTGATGGAAGCATCAGAAGGTTCAATGGTGGCATGATCGATAGTTGGTTTAACACAATTTTCAGAGTTCTTAACACAAGTTGGACTAGTGGAAAGTTGTCCATCATTGCAGATTATTTCTGCAGCCCCTGATATAGTGTGTCCCTCCTTACACTCAACAGTGTACTTGGATCCAGAGTCGATAGAAGCATCAGCAGGGGTGATAGTTGCTTCATCAATGGTCGGTTTGGAACACTGTTGAAGGCATGTTGGACTAGTTGAAAGTTGTCCATCATTGCAGGTTATTTCTGCAGCCCCTGATATAGTGTGTCCTTCCTTACACTCAACAGTGTACTTGGATCCAGAGTCGATAGAAGCATCAGCAGGGGTGATAGTTGCTTCATCAATGGTCGGTTTGGAACACTGTTGAAGGCATGTTGGACTAGTGGAAAGTTGTCCATCATTGCAGGTTATTTCTGCAGCCCCTGATATAGTGTGTCCCTCCTTACACTCAACAGTGTATTTGGATCCAGAGTCGATAGAAGCATCAGCAGGGGTGATAGTTGCTTCATCAATGGTCGGTTTGGAGCACTGTTGAAGGCATGTTGGACTAGTCGAAAGTTGTCCATCATTGCAGGTTATTTCTGCAGCCCCTGATATAGTGTGTCCCTCCTTACACTCAACAGTGTATTTGGATCCAGAGTCGATAGAAGCATCGGCAGGGGTGATAGTTGCTTCATCAATGGTCGGTTTGGAACACTGTTGAAGGCATGTTGGACTAGTCGAAAGTTGTCCATCATTGCAGATTATTTCTGCAGCCCCTGATATAGTGTGTCCTTCCTTACACTCAACAGTGTATTTGGATCCGGAGTCGATAGAAGCATCAGCAGGGGTGATAGTTGCTTCATCAATGGTCGGTTTGGAACACTGTTGAAGGCATGTTGGACTAGTCGAAAGTTGTCCATCATTGCAGGTTATTTCTGCAGCCCCTGATATAGTGTGTCCCTCCTTACACTCAACAGTGTATTTGGATCCAGAGTCGATAGAAGCATCAGCAGGTGTAATGGTGGCATGATCGATAGTTGGTTTGTCACAGCCTGAAATTGAGGTATTAAGTTTTCTGAGGAAGGTAAGAAGATTCTTTGATTTATCAAGACTAGATAATCATTCTTAATCATCGAACAGTTATCGTGTGCTGTCTTGGATACCAACTTTTAAAAAGTAGCTACTGATTTAACCGACTCAAGGTAAAATGTTTTGGGCACGATTTACCTGCCACACATGTAGGCAAATCTGACAGCTTGCCTGCTGTGCAGGTAATCTTAGAGTTCCCAGACAGAGAATACCCAGATTTACAAGACACGGTATAGTGCGAACCAGAGGCAACTGTCTCAGTTGTGGGGTCAAATACACCGTTCTCTAGTGTAGGCTGCTTGCAGGCTGTGTCTGCTGAAAGTTAATCGCTATGATGCAGGCTGTAATTGATCGTATAACAGCGCAGCTGGTCCGACTGAACCATAAGGCAGGGCATTAGCACAATATTTAGTAATTTCTCAATTTCTCAATTTCTCAATTTGGTAATTTTTAAATTTATCAATTTGTCGGGCTTGTGTAATTTTGTTGACGGGACAGATGGAACTGCAATGGACCAAGGTTTGCATTACTTAGGTTCTCAATCGTGCACTGTGTGCAAATTAGGGTATCCTTATGGTAACCGCATGTTATTGTTTTCGTAATGCATATAAGCAATGATCAGACTTTTGTAATAATAAAAAGAAATTACAACTAAGTCTGTCAAAAGTCAATTTATTCGTCGATTTAGTCTGCGCCTCGTCGACAATGTTCTGTCTGTACATTTCTGTTTACTTGTAAATTTCTGTCAACTTATCAATCGAATCTCTGTCCATCACAGATGTACCATTGCAATTTGCATTGAAACTTTTGACTAGGTGATTGTAATTTTTTTCTGTTTGGTATGCTTCGAAGTTAGGCTAAAGCCCTCGCTGCTTCATTCGATTGAAATCACAACGATTAACAATTTTTTAAACAAACATATTGAACTGAAACATAGCGAGAATAACTTACTTGACCGTTTCCAAGGGTTTATTCTTCAGATAGATTTAAGATTCCTTTACATGGATTTCCGCGGTCAAACAGATAACTTTCTTTATATTCACAGCCACAGGTACAGTGTGCTTCATCTTTTTCTCTATTCTTTGAGAATCGTAGCTAAAGAAATCTAACACACACTAACAGCGGCACTTCTTGAAACTTCAAATAAAAGAAACAAGCCAACAAATTTTCTCAGCAAACGTCACGAGCAAAAACTAGCGATTACACATTAGCGACAAAGCAATTTTCCAATATCGTAGGAATGACATCTAAAGATATTAAAGTTTTAGTCATGTCCCCACGATATATCAATAAATCAAGCCTAGAAATCAAAATATGAAAATTCCATAAACAGTAGGAACGTGGGAAATAAGTTGAGGCTTTCAACCCTTCGCCGAACAGCATAAGAATATGATATCGTGGCATTTTTGTTTTCACAAACCTAAAAAAGTATGATCATACAAAACACAAACCTGCATCACCACCATCCTTAGCACAGGTAGGAAGATCCTTATTCCATAGACCACCAACACAAGCAATGGTGGTTGCGTCACTGATAGTGTAGCCACTGTCACACTTGGGAGTTGCCACTGTACCCTCGGTCAGTTTCTCTCTGTCAAAGGTAACGTCTCCGTTCTCCACTGCACTGCTGATGTCCCAGCAAGTCACTGCGAACAAGTATGTATCAATACATAATTATGTGATTGATAACGTAATTATAGTTAAATTATCAATTATAATTGATCGATTACAATTTTTTTAAATCGATTACTGATCAAAACAGCGTAATAATAAGATAATAGAAGGAAATAAAACAAACCTTTCATGATTCCGTTTAATTCAGCATTTTACATTATAATTTCGTATTATCATTATATTTCATATTATATAAATAAATCAAACCTGCCCTGCCGCACACCCCCCTATGTGTTGCGGTATCTGAACTCTTCATCGCGTAAAAACCAGAGTTCTTATTGATTGTTCCGTATTTTTTGCCCCAGTTAAAGATGTCGTGGTTTGATATGTTCGCATAGTTTACCGGAATGAAATTGTCTGTCCACTCCAGAGCTGATGTCTTTGTCAGGTCTCTGGAGGAGTGTTGTGGTACGTCAGTAGAAATATACTAGTGATGTTGATAACGGTTATGGATTAACCCTAATAAGATATATATATATAAACGGGACCATAGTATTATTTATAATTGTTTTACTATTGTCACTTGAAGAGAAACATTTTTTATCACTCACTGCAGCCCCATCCAGAAATAGTTGAACTTATCGTCAGTTTTTACTCCCGGGTATTCTGCTAATATCAGATCCACCACCTGTGGAATCACTAATTAGGACAAATTAAACTAAGTTTAATTAACAGAGGAAACAATCAATCGATGCGGGTCAATAGCCTATTATGTGTGGATCATCATTGAGAATTCTGACTGCAAACCTGATACGATCAACTTAAACCCCACGCAAAGGAAAAATACATAAATAGTGAAAGAGTAAAAGTTGGTAACCTTCTGGTTGTGATATCTTGTCGGTATGGAAGCCAGCGTCCACCCAGTTTCTGTTCCCGCTACATTCTTATCTTCGCAGGATTTCAAGCACACAGACCGAGTTACCAGCTTCTTATCTCCACAGAAGTCATACTGCATCTCTGTGGGATGAGGAGTTCACAGTTAATAAGGGAGGAGATAGATTGGCATACTGTATTTCATTATTGAATGGCTTTTCCATGCCATAGTTAATATTATGGTAATGTAAAGTTGGATAGAGATGTTTAAAAAATATCGCCAATGCAGCACAAGGCAAACAAGTTTCAATAATCCACTGAAATTCTATTTTCTCACCCCTTCTGTATGTAGCGGTAAATATGTAACCATTTTCAAAGAATCTGCAGGAAGGCATGTTAAAGGATCCCCGCTTGTAGTTTATGTAACCGCCGAGTCCAAAAGATGGTCCGTAGCTGGAAATATTTAGCTTTTAGTAACCGTTAGGGAAAATTATAAAGGATATAGTAAAGATATATGTAGGCATATATTACAGATATATGTAGACATATGTAGGCAATAGGCATATGTGGAGCGCATACCCTTAGCTCATAGACTGCGCTATAAGTGGGGTTGCTACAAATATTATCTCCTCACGAGAGGTAAAGTACAATTTGAAAGTACAATGTTACCTAGCCTTCACTCTCAAGTACGTAGCGGTGTATCCGACCATCAACATTGAGTGAGCCAGCGGTTGTGAAGCACACAAAGCGTCGTCATATAAACCTGCCAGAAAGTTTCAACATTAAGAGGGAAGTTTAATGTTTTATTATCATTTATTTTTAATATTACTTATAAGTTACTACTGTATAAATAACTGAGTTCAATATTATGAGTTGATATCTTATCTTCTTCTTCTTATGAGGATTCGTTGCGACGCAACAAGGCCATCGAATGAGTCGACCACCTTTGTTATTTTACTTCGGTAAACCAGCACTTTCAAGGAAGAGCTTTACAAGAAGCCGAAGGATCGTTCCTAAGGCCAGCAACGGTTAAGGCACTATGCCACACTTTCTTCGCCCGAGGCTTCGCTGTGTTGATCAAGCACAGCTCCTCATTTAACCCTCACACCCGATTTCTCGAGCATTCGGCTGAGTGAACCGTGGGGCTACATAGACCACTCGGGATCCTTAGCAGAGCGTCAACGACGCTCACCCCACGACTAGGCAGGCAGTGGGATTCGAACTCGCAATCTTACGATTACAAATCTGATGATCAACCAACTACGCTACCTGATGATCAACCAACTACGCTATGTTTCAGGAGACATTTTAAGTCTATTCTGAAAAAAGAACCCACCTCCAGAGTACCCGAAGATTGCGTCGGAGATGTAAGACCCGAAAGCTATTGGGGATATATGCAGTTTCGTCAAAAAACTCTCCTCATTCTTTCCAAGCGGCACATAATCCTGACCCCATATCTTCGTCATAGCATTGTTCCGATCGTTTCGAATGTCCATCGTAAACGCACATGGCTGATCTAAAGGAGACGTTATTGAGTTTAAAAATGATAAATTGGCATGGCAACATTCCACCTTATGGAATATTCAATCAAACAATCAGTTATTTATTAGCATAGCTTGTAGCTAAACAAGCCTTTCATTTCCTTATCAGTCATTCTCACCTGCTATGTCAACAAATGATTCTACTCATAATTTATTATAACTTCACATAGAATTTTAAACCCCCACTCAATGCCCGCTTATGATGCTTCTCTACATTCACGCATTTAAATTTTAAAATCTAACTGTGTTCAATTCCTGCTCTCGGCACACTTCACCCCGACTTTTGACGAAAAGTTCTACCTTACTGCCTTCATTCAGTGAGCTACATGATTTGGACAATGCTGGCCTACCCGGTGAAAAATATAATTTAAAATTTAAAACAGGGTTTCTAAACCCCAGACTTACAATCAGCTGTGTATGGCCACTGTTCTGCAGACATCAGGTACTGCCTCATCATAGTGATTTTGTAGCCCTCGTTCACAGTTCCTCCAGCGCAGCCGGAGTAGGAAAACGTGCAGTCAACGAAGTACTGTTCAGAAAACTTCATTTTCTCGCCCGACAACCTCGTGTTCAGAGCTTCAAACGTGCCAACCTGTTCAGCAGCTCGTGTTGTTAAATGTGTGAAGGTGATTAAGTTTATCTCTCATCAAATCGTTTCGTTTATTGTAAAGACCAGACTTTAATGTCGATAGGATAATAAAGTACGTTCCACCTTAAACAATGATCATATGCTTATGATGAGGGTTGTCCAATGGTTGTAGACAGCCTCATAAACGTAAGCTTCTGCTTACGTTACGAAAATAAATAAGCTTAACTACGAAAATCGTCGTACAACCGCGATAGCGAAGGAAAATATGATAACGGACTGATATATTTTAAACAAAAAAAGTCATGGCGGGACGATCAGTGAATGCTGGGAAAAACAGATGAGAGAGACAATAGACGTGCTCACTGCTCACTACTCACATTGGGAAAACTCCAGCACGACCCACACGACGCCTGGTCGCCTGGAGTTGAAAGAGTCACTCCTTCCTCCCAAAACGTTAACTCCTCCGGTAACCCATAATCTCGCTTGCTTCTCTTATGTCTCCTCGTGACGGGGTGATTTTCAACCTCCTCATCAGTGAACAGCGGTTCCGAGAAGTTGAGACTGTTTTCCATGAGAGGCTTGACAATCATGTCGTACTCAAAGTCGTTCTGAGAGGAGGTGTGTTTGAGTGATAAAATGAAAAGGTTGAGTTTCAAGCGCAGGGATTAATTAATAGAGATAAAAGTTACAAGAACCATGAACAACAGAAAACAAGGTTTACTTACAAGAACCGTGAATTTGTTGAGACTCTCCAGAAAAACCTCGCTCGTTGTTTCTTCCACTGATTTCTTCATTTTCACAAATCTGTTCCACCGCTCACTGAACAATTTAATGTTTTCGGGTTCAAAATGACAAAAGACACTACTTATGCAAGCCTGTAAAAACATGTTCAATACTGATCAAGACGGAGCAGTTCATATTTCCTTTTTAATTTTCAGCAAATTATTTGCTAACACTACCAAGCATTTTGAAAAAAAAACTTCCTATTCTCCGTACATGCATGTATCAAGCACATAAACAGTAACACTAACTCACAGTCTGTCTTTGTCGTGGGTCGGGTTGATTTGCCATCGTTTGAGGGTGTTTTGAAAGAGCTTGGTGGCAGGGAGAGTAATCGAGGCCAGGACGCAGGGCACGAGTACCAGGAAACACAGCAGTGGTTTTGTCATGAGCCTGGTAAAATCTATTAAACAATAAAATATTTGAAGTTATTAATAATTGGGGATTTACACCGCTCAACCCTATGACCTAAGACGCAAGTATTTCGAGCCTCAAATTTCTAGTCCCATCCCCACAACTTGGCGTGGAACACTGAAAACAAAGAACCAAGACGTCCTTTCCAGACAATTCCTGAGTCGTAACCTACATTTTTTTCTTCATAACCGTAACCTAAACTATGACGCAGGTCGCAGCAGGTATGTGGACCGAGGTCAATGCGTGGCGCCGCGGATGTCATTGGTTCCAGTGATGCTAAGGTACTGAGGTATAAGATCACTGGGATGGATGACGATCAACCCAATTCCTAGTTTGAGTAGAGCACATACAGCAATAAGGAGGGATTGTTTGGAGAAGCTTAATTTCCCCAGTCCCCTCTATTATAGGGGGAGGCCGGAGGAGTCTAAAGTGACCAAAAAAGTAATCAAACAATAATCTGTGATCGATCCATTAGTTGCACAGATCAATGATGAATGGTTATTGATCTATAGACTTTTATCTAGAAGAAGAACAAAAGGCCACTAACATTTTTCATGTTCCACAATATAGTAAACAAACGTTAACAGGTGAAAAAGTAATGGTAACAAGTAGCAAATTAAATAAAAAGTGAAGCCGCAATCGGTCAGTAAATCACCTGCCGAACCACGAGCCATACAGAGGTAATACACATGACATTTTTAAATGATCACACACAAAGGTGGTGCAGTAATACGGCCTGACGGCCAGCTAATAAGATTCACAGACAGAATATCGTAAAAAACTTTAAAACACAATGAAAAAGCTTGTGAATTAGGACAGAAAGTCGTGCAGAGGACCGAACTCTTCCAGAGTCCCACAAAAAAAAGATGTAGTGACGTTTTCATACAGCAATCTAGTCATAATGTCGTGTTGAGGTTAGCTCAGAGAAAAGGGAACACCTTGCCCCCTGCCTTGTTCTGGACGACTGATTCCAGTTTTGGCTCGTGCCTCAAACAAGCAGGCGATGAGCTATTGAATATTGATAAGTGATATGTCGACATTATATTCAACATTAACAGCTGGTTTCGTTATTTTGAAAGATAGCCGTCATCTTGGCTCTGGTAACTCCGGATTCACACGGAAAAGCCAACTTGAGCCACCCTGTAGTCGCTTGCAGTTGATATAGACAACTCACGACACTTTCTCATATTTAGTGATAACATGCATGCGTGGGAAGCAAGGGAATTATAAAGTAGAAAAATACGATCACTTCGAGTTCTTCAAATCGTATATATATATCATAGGTCCGTGTAGGCCTTACACTGTGCTTTCAGCAATACTTATAGGTAAGTAAGTTACAGCGAACTCTACTACAGTACTGCGGATGTAGGGTACTGGGTAGCTACTGTCAATTCTGGTGTTATACTCACGTGGCCAACCTGACAGTTGCATAGATTAATCACAAAATTAGCAGGAAAATTTTAACTGATTCAATTCAAACTGTAAGCGTAAACAAACACTGAATAACTATAGAAGTAAGAACAAACTTTACGGTCATTGTATGGTTTAACTGGTATACTGAATAAATAATCGGACTCTGAATGGACAGCATTGAAGCGTGGCTGCAAGCTGATTTAATAATCGATGTGTCAAACAAACTAACAAATTTACAAATCTTCCTACGTAGTGGCTTTTTAGTTTATCGTCAGAATAGAATTTATTTTACTTGGAAACATGAAGACTGAATAGAAGATCTAATCAGAAGCTCGTAATTGAGAATGATAGCACTCAATTCAATTACATGATCACTTATGTGATGTGATTGTCTGAATTGTTCATGCTAGTATCATATTCACTGGTAGTGGGGCAACAGATAAATAAATTATAAAAAGACTCTGTATTGATGAAATAATACAGCAGCTTGGCGCCGATTCAGCGATTGAAGCCGAGCTTTCTTTTCCATTGTCAGCATTTCTGGAGGAGGAGATCAGGGCTGAACACCTGATCAGATCAGAAACTAGATTACAACAACTTGCAATCGAGTAATAAAAGCACTCAACCTATTTACATCACCACTAATATGATGCGATTGGGAGGATAGTACATCCTCATATCTAATATACTCAACGCACAATATTCGTATTAATATTCATATCATGTCGAAATATATTCAATCCGGATGAAAATATGGAGGAAAAATCAAAATATAAATATATTTCAGTCTACACCTAGGATTTTGCACGGAGTTCTAACAAAATTATTTCCGTTCTCGCTGTAACTAATAGAAACCATGTGAGATTAACGAGCTTGTAAATGGATCTTACAGAATATATAAGTTTTAAAATATAAGCATTAGCAGGGACTAGAAATCTATGCTCATATTATGTAAGAGCACGCTCCATTCCGTAGGTGTCAACTCTGATAAGAAGCAATGACATGATGTCCCATGTGCCCGATTGTTGCAGCTCTTGCCCTCATCATCATCATGTATCAGTAATGAGAAGTCAGCTCCCAGCCCCTGACACCAGCATGACCCGACAAGCTGACACACTGGAAGCACGCTGGAAGCACGCTGGAAGAACGCTGCAGATGACACAACGTTGTGAGCACGCTCCTACAGAACGTGTGCTGATTGGCTCACCACGAATCAGATCCGTCTGATGTAATTTCGACTGTGGTCTAGTGATCTGTTTAGTTTTGTTGTCATGGCGGTTTATTCCTGCAGGACTCTGTGTAAATTTTTAGAATGACCGTCATGAAGCTCAACAATCTATTTGAAGTGTTACTTCCACTTTTCAAAGTAATTTCTGTCGATTCAATCTTACAAAGAATACAAACATAACATTAAGGTATAGATTGGGGGTATGATCCAAAATTTGTGGAACTAATAATAATTCAAACATGACAATTGACAGCCTGTGTAAAAACATTGAAGCTCATGCAACGATTGCACCAGTTTGTGTGATGGTTTCACTCCATAAACTTGGCACCTAAATGTAATCAAAACGTCAACTTGAATCTAAGAGTTGTGGGTTTATTACCCATGAGAATGATTTGTTTAATGTTTTTAAGTAGTAAAAATATGATGTGTTTTATATAATTGTAGTAATTTTGATGATGTGTTTTACATAATTGTAGTAATTTTCCAAATTATAGGATCGGGAGAAGACAAAAGAATGAACCAATAATTGTTTGCTGCGAATAAAGAGAACTAGAGTCTGGTACTAACAAATTATTTTCTCGTATCTCTTACTCTCCATAGGGGAACCACTAAACGTGGTAGTAATGATTAAGGGGCTGATTAATCACCAATGATGAATGAGGCTCAATTACGTAGTATTCAATATCACTAGCCTCAGACAAAGTGATAAGAGCAAATAATCAATGTCTGAAGAATTAAGGTGATAATGATATCGGCTCTTAAAATAGTATTTTACATATAAATGAAATTCGTGGATTAGGTTAAAAGTAAATACGATTGATGGTTTAGATGATTTTCGTCACAATATAATTATAAACTGATAAACGACAAAGAATGAGTTCTAAATATCATTGTCAAGGGGCCGTTAAATTACCTAGTTTGATTGGAGCATAATGTTAAATCAAATCACAATTATTCACAGTTAAGCTTATTATATTAATAGACAACTCTAATTAACCCAAATTTAGAGCTCAGGGCAAAGTTCTGTATCACAGTACGACGGCAATATAGAACTTTAAAGATTTGCACAAATCTATGACCACATCGCATGTTTTTATAAAAGTATAAAGTAGTCAAGCCCAATCTCAAAGTCAAAGAGATTGTTCATCATATTCATTATAGTCGAGCCAACTGCATCGTCTTCAGATTTAAGCCCACCTTCACCGTTCTCCGAGATGAAAGTAGATCATGGTATCACTTTACAGTTTACAGTGAACTTACTTCTCGATACTACTCAAAGAAATATTATAATATAGTACGCGTGATCGTGGTGTAACCTAGAATAAAAGTTGAACTTGAAACGGCATAAATATATTCAAACGGTAGCCTTTAAAATGCTGGGGCGGTTGGGATCGTCCTAAACAATGAGTGGCTCACAGACTGTCTGGACGTGAAGTTTTAAGATACTGCACCCATAAGCGTGCTCAGATGCCGCAATTGAGCCAGAAAATAGGCTAAAATTAGCCTAATGTCTCCTAATTATATCGAGACAATGTCTGTTTTGTATAAAATGTACATAGAAGATCCCCTAGGTTGTCCTGGATACGCATCATAACTCCAAACAGTACACTAATATCAAAGACGTTACTGCGACCTGTCAACTCTCTAATCCTAACCTACAATCCTTCAGAACACACACAGCCTGGTTAGTGGTTACTTGTGATGTATCCATGATGTGGTCGCTAAGTTAGCCTGGATATTTTTAGTTGGTTTTGGTTTAGGGAGCAAACCTGGCACATAGGTCCAGGATCGAGATCAAAGTAAACATGGTGGCCGAGAGTAAATGACAGTGAACAGTCTGTATACCGGACAGGCAGGGTGCTACTGCTAGGATATGGGACACACTCCCGCCCCTATCCCTAAGAAAACTGGGGAGTCGAAAAGTCTTCACAAAGAAATTTGAACAGTGTGTGAACCACTGCCTGACTGATATGTGGAATGTGGATAGAGTTCGCCATATTCTATAAGGCCTGGGTAACTGACTTACTGTGAGCAGGTTAGTTCTAATCACCTGTAGACAATTTGGGATTATTGATATCGAATATAAATCCCGGTTAAGTTTATTCGTTATCTTTCAGTACAATTTCGCACAAAACTCAAAAGTTTGCTGAAAGGTGCCGCAGCGACCTGGATTACCCAGCGACCTGGGTTACCGCAGTAATGACTGATAAGACCTGGCTACTCTGACTCATACCAGCAGTTTTTAATCTTTATTTTATCTGAATATATGACATCAACATCAAGCATATTCAGAGTAAACTTGCAAGTGTCACTGTTATTGAGAAAAACTTAAAGTTAAACTATGTACAAACGTTTAAACAACTATTACTAGCCGTCAGAAGTCTAGACTCAAGTGAGGGCAGTTAAATATTCTTCAGAAAACAACAAAAGACAGACGCTTACTTATACAAGCTAGTTGTTGAGGGAGTAGTCGGTGCAGAGTGCAGACTGTTATCATAATGGGAGAGTAAAGATCTAGTTGACGTAGTCGAATACAATAAACACATCATAGAATGAAGTAAAGTGGACTTATCTCTCAATGATCCAAATATATAGATTTGAGATACTGGAGTTAACATTGCGGAGCTGATAAGTGGAGAAATACTCAGCCACTAAGGAGTTTTGATAAAGATATTAATTTACGGTTTATGTACAGCTTTCGCAAATACAAGTCTGGATATAATTCACATATAAATGCGTGCAATGTATTCTCTGATCGTTTAGTTTTACTATAGTTCAACCATTTTCGTAATTCTATCTGCGATTTCACTGAGGAGAGTGTAAACGTCTGTCTCTATAAAATCGCACACCATTGGGCGAGATGTGCGCAAAGTAGTAGCATCATTATACCTGCTCAAGCTTTACAACACACATAAAGACATAACGCCGGCACGCAGAGGGGTATAATTTCAACTTATCCCGTGGCGTGCGGGATATTAAGTAGATAACAATCCAGAGTGCGTAGCACGAGGTGGAATTGAAGAAGAAAGAGACGTACATTACTAAACTAGAGTACGCAACCTGGACTTTAGTTAGACACGTACTGAAGTTCGACAGGAGAACTTCGACTGTCGAACTATGGTACGCTACCTGGACTCTAGTTCTAGTTCGACACGAGTTTGAACAAAACCAATCAATACAAAGTATCGATGGCTGGTATTTTTAATTAGTATAGCATTGATTATTCCATGATTATACCATGAAACTATCCGTTTGTCAGCCTAGGTATTTCGAGTGTTTTTCTTATATGATATAATATAAGGAATTAAGGATAGTATAATACCAGCACCGAACAAAAGTCATGAAATCATGTTCATTGATTCTGATTGTGCGTTTTTACCGTACAAATTAAATTGTTTCTCGTGGGAAAATGACTAGACTAAATCAAAGACGAGATATCACTCAACAAATCGAACTGAGTTGAGTGAGATTATTTAAAACTGTTCAGGAAAAAACCGCGGGATTGATTAAAATAACTCTGCCACTTACTTTCTATCCCGTCCCAGCATCCCGGAGCAGTTAATCTAAATTATTATTTCTCATTTTGATGGACCGAATAATGAAAATGGGCGTCCCTTTTCTGATAATAATTACCGAAAAAATTGCTTTAAATGACGTCAAAATAACTCAAAGCTATCACTATAAGTATGTGATAAAAGTTTGGCGGATACGGGATATGCTAACAGAACTAGACAGAACTGGACTCTAAGAACAAAACTAGACTCTTAAAAAGCAATTTGCCTCATCAGACCACATATTAGGCTCATATCATGTATATATGAACATAAAGAATTTGGTTTAACTTGTTTGTATGAAAAGCATCAATATGAACATATTAACGCTTAACGAAAGACTGAAAGAATTATAATAGCTTTGAGAACCTGTTCTGTACTGTTAAAATACAACCTTAATATAATATACAAGACTGGAGAATAGAAATTATGAAATATCGTAAAGAAAGGGGACGATCTGTATCTATCACAGCCTCAAAATGCTGATTACAAGTCAT